AGATTACTTATTAACGAACTTTTTTTTTATCAAACATAACTTATGATACATAATTAATAAGAATGCAAGTAATTTCTACTGAAAAAAATGATATATCAATAGCATTATCTTAATTAAAAATAATGTTGTTGATTCAATAACAGTATTGATGAAAGCAATAAAATTTTATTAAAACAAGAGTTTGACGTATTTCATTAATAGAATTATTGTGTGTGTGTGTGTGTGTGTATGTGTGTGTGTGTGTGTGTGTGTGTGTGTGTGTGTGTATGTGTGTGTATGTTGTGTGTGACAAAATGAATGAATTGACAAAATGATTTTGAATTAAAATAATGCTGTTAAATATAACATCATTTTTTTCTGCAGTGTACGACAGAAGATTTTATTGGCTCTTAGAATTTTATTTTTGGACTTCGTTAATGAAATATTTATTTATAGAATTATTTTAAGCGCAATAAACTCCTGCTCAATAAACTAAATAATTTTTTTGAAAATTTTCAAAACTTTTCAAAGAAACTAAAGATTACTAAGAAAAATTAAATATTTTGTAATACGCTGTTGCATTAAAAAGAATTAAAGTTTATCGTTCGCGGATGACTTTTGCGAATCGTGCTTAAAAATTTGGAATTATACATTTACCCGGGCACAAATAAGTATCAGTGGATTAACAACCAAGGATCGGTACTAGATACTTTCCATATTGCATGGTTTAATAAATATGTCTACGAGCTCGGGAAGATATAAGTTCAGTATACGTATTTTATATAATTTATCATTCGTGCTATAAAGATGCACGTAGAGAGGCAAGAAATATAAATACACGATACCATTCGTGAAGCGAATTGGCGATGTTGTAATCGAGAGATAATTTACATAATTTATGCATCGTGTGCGATATTTGACGTAATGCGACTTTTTTGATAAAATGTAAAATATATAAAATAAATTTCAGAATGGAGTCGACGCGAATCGAAATACGTAAAATAAAATAGAGATTACAATCATTATGCATTATAATTTATACAAGAAGTACTATGGTAATTTATATAATATTAATTTGTACTAGGAAGACTATTTCATGCATGCAAGAGTGTATATACAGTAAAATGTATTCATTCAAGTACTTCAGAGTTTATATCTTTATGAAGCAAAATTTTGTTTCTTTGTCTCTCTTGTATGTATAAAATGGTTATAAGCCAGAAATCGAAAGGCGTTTACCGTAGAATGTGTGTGATGTAAATACGGAACGAAATAATGGAGGACGTGATGATAATTTACATATCGAACTGGATAATTCATGGCACGTATTACCGTCAATCAATTTTGCTGATCGATATTATATCGCCGAACTTTCGAGAATCATTTCTCTGATCTCGCCGCGGTTTAGGCGTTATTAAATGTAAAATGACTAATGTCCTCGATTACGGCATGACGGTCATACATGGTAGGTAAGCAATATAATGAGCGCGCGGTAGCGCCTGGAAAAAGGATAATTATCCACTTACAACGAAGCTTGCTTTAGTTTAGCGTTATTAGTGATGCGAGAGCGGCGGTATGTGAAATTATAACCTGTAGTAACTTAAGGTAAACCAAGAGATTTTATTTAGTCATCGCGTTATTTCCTTATTTGTGTGGTTTTTGTTCTATATAAGCTTTTAGCTGAGCTTTAGCCTGAAATAAGAAAAGTCGTGGATATTTCGATTACATTTAGCTTCACCGCATGCATAATACATACTGGTATAAAATCGAAATCATATTGATCTTGTGGCATTAATTGTGATATATATTGAGATGTTTGTTCAGTCATATATTTATTATATATTATATTTAATTATATTTATATCTATAATATTTTATATAGGTATTACCGAAAGAATGATTTTGCTGAAGTATTTAAAAATTTAGTCAGATACAGATCTCAAAATAACTTTATTAGATTGTCAAAATAATTATGTGAATATCTGAGACATAATGAGCAATGCTGCAAAAAGTTTTGACATTTTAGTAACAAAAAAGTTTAAGTTTTCTACATTATTATAAGTATCCTACGTAATTATTTTGATGGTCTAACCAAATTATTTTCAAATTTGTATCTAGCTAAATTTTTAGATACTTTAGCAAAACCATCCTTTCCGTATATTTTTATCATATACGACCGAAAAAATGATTTTACTGAAAGATCTAAAATTTTGCTGGATATAAATTAGAAATTAATTTTATTTAGATCAAAATAATTTTGTAAGTTTAAAATTTAGAAAATTTTTTGCAACATTGCTCATTACACTGCTTTTCAATTTCTAACATAATATTTTGATAGTTCAATAAAATTATTTTCAGATGCGAAATTTAAATCTTTCAGCAAAATCAGTCTTTCTATATTTAAAAAATACAAAATTCTATTTGACAGTCAATACAATAATTTATATATTTATTTATGTTTCACACACATTTATTTATATTTCGTGCGGTGCCTCCATCCTGCTTTTGACTTGTAATCGATTCGTATTATCTTAGTGACGTTAAAATTTTTTTTTTTCTTTACGTACTTATTTTCCGATAAGGAAAAAGAAATGTGCACAGTGTATATACTGCGGTGATCAATTACGGATTTTCGCAGAGAGAAAACCGGAAAAGCCGATGCTGGATTTCGCCTTATGCCGAATGGACAATTAATTCCTCGCGCGCGCGGCATCGACGTGCAAAATTGATAGCTGGCACCTGACATACCAACCAGGTCGGTACTTCGTAACTGCCCATTACGAAGTTTATTACGGTTTCCTCGAGTACAACGACGGCTCTTACCATGGAAACGCGAAGGCGCACGTGGTAAATACGTGTCCGCGAATTACGCAGAGAAGGGACCTGTTAAAATGGCAGATGCTGGTCTCGCATTCCCGTTAGATATAAATAACTCTGATCTCAACTGCGTGCGCAGAGAAGGCCCTTATCGGAAAACTATAAAAAAAAAAAATTGCCAGTGAATTTTTTAAAGAATCGTCTCAGGATACTTTTGCATCGATATGGTTTCCGTTGCATAAACTACGAATCATGATTGAAAATTTATTCTGTTTCATCGTGCGAATGAAATTAATTTTATATATGCCAATTGTAATTTTTAAAAATTCAAGTTTTATTCCTTAATTATGTTAATTATTCCTTAATTATGTTTATCTTAACAATAGCTGAAGGTCGTTAAAACAAAATTAACCCTTTACGTCGGCGAGTCACATGCATCGAGCATTCAATCCTTGCGTCGTACAATCACATCCTGTAGAAATTCGCGTGTAAGTATCTTGAAAAAGAGAGCTTGACTTCCTGTCGCCTGTGTGTCGCAACGATTAATCACCGCCGACGTCGGCAATACGTCGCTTTATCAGCTATTACTTTTTCCTTACGTCATTAAAATCGGAAACAATCTGCGTAATATAATTGTAAAGCTGGCTTTTCTCGCGCGGTACGTTCGCAGCGTTATTTATAATCGATCGCGATGCCAAACTGTCGAAGGAATCTGCTTATCGCCAGACCAACAATATATTATCATCGATAGCTGGATACCTATAACCACCGCTAAATGGATTACGCTTAGATTTACGTCGATATGATTGAACGGCGTGGAACCATAATATGTGCACAACGCTACGTTGAATTGGCGTGTACGTAAACCTTTACGCATATAAACGCGAGAGATTAGCACGATCTACGCGAAATAAAACGCCTGAATGAGACGCGGCGTCTCCGAGTTAATTTGCGGTATTAATCAAGTGAGACGTTTTAATCAACGTGATTTTCTCAGAACTTTATGCCTCTCGTGCCATATACTTCCAAGTGCTTTGACACAACTGCGATACGATCTTATTTCTGCGCTGCACAATAAAAATTGTCCGATGATATCTTGAGATTTATTTAATAGTGAAAACAAGAAACTGGATTAATTAAAGTAGATAAAACATTTATGTACATCGCATCATTATTGATATTGCAGTTTTTGTTTAAACTCTTTAATATTATAACTTCATATTATGTATTCAATTATCGCGATCGAAATCCAAACAGGACGGGCATCGTTTCAATTCGTTTCGATTTATCATTTTTAGCTTCAATTTTCAATTAAAATCTTAATCAAAGACATCCCTTTCTTCGTTATTCCGTTAATAAAGTTGTCGAATAAACGATAAATAAATAATTGCGTGTCACGAAAGCGATTTTTCATTAACGTCCGCACATATATGTAAATGCGAAAATTTTCTTGCGAGAAGGGTCGAAAAAACTTCGGTTCGGAGTAGGATGCGGCGCAGCATAAAAGCGTTGTACAGAGATATTAATCGGTGTCGAGACTTGTATATGCGTAATTTAGAATCGAGTTATCGCAATACGTCGGCTCCTTCGGACAAAATTAATAACGATTTGCGATAATGGGCGGGCCCTCTCGTAAATTACGAATTGACGGAGTCTCATTTTTAATTTCGTTCGCCGCGCGAAGCGGCGAAAGTATCGTCGGTACAAGAAAAACATCGTCGCGAAACGGAGAATGAACGGCGAAATATAACTGTAATTGAATGGCTTTTAAATATTCATCGAGCGTGGTTCATTCACGGTAACTCCCGTTCGCCGTTGCTATTTTAGTGTCTTCTGAACGGGTAAAAACGAGCGTCAATGACACGGCAGTGATAAATGCCGGTCCTTAAGCTCGACTGCCTTCGCTTGCAATGAGGTTTTACTACGCTTCAGCGATCCTCGATTTTTATATCGGATCGTGCCGGAAGCGGTTTCCCTCTCGCGGTCGTTTCCGGTTGTGTACCCGTACAGCGGCGCGTTGATGGTGAATAAAAACCTGCACGAGGTGGATAATAATTTATAGTAATGACGCGTCGACGAGTACGTTCTATAGAGGATAATTCGGTATTATATAGTATTACAGCTTATTATAGATATACATTACATTTTTTTTATGTCGCACACGATATTAATACTTATACTGAACATTGTGAAAACATGGATTGCAGAAAGGGAAGCCAGCGGTTCTGGGGTCGCTCGAGGTGCCCCGCCAGTCTTGGAGACGATCAATCCGGAGGACGAGCCGGAAACGGACGATACCGGAAGCACAAGTGGAAACGGTGTTTCGCCGGTGACGAATCCTCTGCTCCAAGAACGCTCGAATTGCGAGGAGCTCAGGCATGTGGTGTGCCACCTCGAAACCAAGGATCTTTGGGATAAATTCAACGAGCTCGGCACGGAGATGATCATCACAAAGACTGGCAGGTAAGGTCAAAGTACTTCAAATTATCGATGTCCGATTTCCGTTGCCTGAAAGGATGATCGCTATCTGAATTATAACGCTGATTTATTTGTCGGTATCGAAGATAACTGCCGCAGGCATTTCAGATGGACATCGATAAGTTTTAATCACGTGATGATGATTGTCGCATTCAGAGAAAAGATTGCTTCGATTTAAAATTATGTTCAAATCCAAGAAATCATGATTTGAACCTCATTTCTTGGATTTGAACATAATTTTTTTAAATCGATAAAATTTTATTTGATTTTAAAAAATAATATTTAAATCAAAGAAATTTTTTTCTTTAATCGTATAGCAAAGAAAATTTCTTTAAATCAAAGCAACTTTTTCTCTGGGTGTCGGATATAGTCAAGTTCAATGACATTGCGCAATTATTAATTGTTATAACTAAATCGTTTATTTTTTTTTTATTATGTCGTGATTTTAATTTTGAAGTCTATTTTATTTTTAATGTTTGATGAATACTCGTATATTACATAATTCTTTATTGTGTAACATGATTCCGTAATACATACAAATCGCAATCTGCGGTTATCTCCGCCAGCGTCAACATATTGATATAACAAACGATAAATCTAAAATTGTATGTAACAATACTTGAAAACGTGAGATATGATTATTATTTTATTGTACATTGATGTTGAGATAGAAAGACTAGTATCGTGCGTATTTCAACGATTAATAGACGGATTGCAGTCAGAAACAATCCTTTTTTTTCGAGGGGAACAAGAGGAAGAGGGGATAAATGCGATTCCCGAGGTAACCAGATGCTCCAGGGAAGAATTCCCTCGGGACGATGTACCGCTAATACATCGCAGGCTGAATTTCTCTCCTGGACAACGTCGGGGCGATTGACTCTTTCTCATTACTCGCGGCCGATCACCCCTTCGGCCCTCGTCCCGAAACCGCCGTCGCCCCCGGGGCGATGTCGCTGCAAACTCAATCACGTCCTGCCACGGGTCACGTCGCGACACCCACGAAAATTCCCGAGGGGAAACCCGGCGATAGAAACAGACTAGGGTTAGGGTGAGAGGTGTCGTTACCCTGAGCAAGCTGTCACTCGCCTGACACGTTACATCGAAACATAAGCAAACGTTCTAATCGCATTGAAATTGCGATCTTTTAATTGCGGGAATTAGGTGGTAGAAACGGGAAAAAAAACGATATTATTCTGGAAACAAACAGCAGTCTAAAAGTTTATTGAGATTAATCCTTTATAATACGCGTGATGCAGAAATTATAACTTACAACTTTTAATGAAATATAAATAATAATAGTAATAATAATTTTATTGATGTGCATTTGTAAATTACAGAAAGACGTAAAAAACGTAAAAAAAATTAGAAATTGCACAAATAATAGGCAAAGTATCAGCAATAATGCTATCCTGAAACTCAAATCTGAGTAAAGAGTACACAGTTGGAAAATTTACTAACACATATTACGTGTCCCAAATAATTTATCTAAATTTTAATTTTAATTTAACATAATATGAATATGTTAGGAATTAACACAAATATTATGTAAAAAATTAACGAGGAATATAACGCTGACACAATTTGTAAGCAAATTATGGAAACATATTTTTTCAATACAATTTACAATAATTGTATTATAAATCACACAATTAATTTATATATTAACTTAACATATTTCAATAACATACATTTTATTCATTTATTATAGAATTTGCGTTTTAAAATATATTATTTTTATTTGTTCATTTTTTTTAATAAATTATTTTATCTTAACACTCAGAAATGTTAAAAATTTAACACAAAAATTTTAACAGACATCTCTATTTTAATACAAATACAAAATATGTTGCTAATAATAAAAATGAAATAAATAATACGTGAAGAACTCGCAGATTTTATCGCTGTTTTACGAAAGATAAAATTTTCAAAACTATAAATTTTTTTTGTCACACAGCAGTCTATTATCTTATCGATTCTTATTTATAAAAAAAATTGATTTGAGAGAGAGGTAAGAGAAAGAGAAAATTGGCGAGAATATTAGTGAGATCGATGCAACTATCTATTTTGCGGTAAGCCGACGTTATTTAACAAGTGGCTAGAGATCGTGAATATAAAAAAAGCTATAGACATGGTATGGATCACGAACTCGGAAACGACAGGAAAGAAAATAATAAAAATTTAAACATGAAACTCTCAATTGGTTCGGGAATATAAAAACGCAGCGAGTGATCGGCTAGATGAAATGTAAGCTTAACATACGTGTACACGTGCAATATTTCCGCTTGCTCGCCTCTTTATGAGTAAACAAATTCAATTGCGAATAACAAGAAAGTAACATAATGCAATACATCGTACAAATAAAAGGATAAGAATGCTGCACACAAATATACTCCAGTAATATAAAACTGTGAAAGAGTTAAGACTACCTGAGCGCAGGGGGCCATAGACGGGAAGGAGAAGGGATCGAGAGGAGGGGAGGTAGAAGAATAAAAAACGGAGAACGAGCTGGTGGCAAGCTGGCGGGTTAAATTGCTATATTGACCGTCAGTCAATTAGTCGGGCCGGTGTAGAAACCGGGCGAGCTTATGCCAGTTTATAAGGGTCCTTGGGACGAGCAGTGGTGACCAGAGGCGTGAGGATACGAGTGGGATCACACTGTGAGGGGAGAAGTCCAGGGAGGGATCTCTCAGGGGCTGCCTATTCGCGGAAGGCAGTCGAGAAGTTTTATGTTCGCGGTTTGTCTCGAGGCTTCGCGATATACCACCTTCTCAAACATATATCTTCGACTTAACGACGGAAATGCTAACATTGGACACGAAGTTAACTATCGACGTAGAATAGTCCTTTGTACTGATGTGACGTTCTATGGAGTGAATTGATCGTAGAATAAGAAATGCATTTTTGACATAATTACGATAGGCATTATTTAAGGAGAAAAGTAAAAATAAACGAATTATGGCTTAAAATCCTGTTTATTGATTGATTATTAAATTGTGCTATAAGTTAAAATTTATTTCTATGTCATCACAGACAATATTTATACTTTTTTTACACAGCAAAATATAAATTTATTAAAAGTTTTTGATAAAATTTTTGTATTTAATTTTTAGCATATCTCTGACGGTTGTTAATTTGATATAACATTTCTTAGCGTTAAATAACACAATGACAATTTATAAGTGTGCAAACAAATAACGTAATGTAGTTTTAAAACGTAAATTTTAAAATAAATGAATAAAAGATTATTTAATATATTATGAATGTTAATTTTCCATTGAGAAAATATATTTCCAAATTGTGTCAAAATATTGTGTTGTGTTAATGTTTACGTCATGTTTATGTTACATTCTAGCATATCATCTTGTGTTAAATTAACATAAAAATTTAAATGGACTAGATTTAGTTTGAAAACATAACATGTGTTAAATTTAATACAAATTTTCCAATTGTGTAGTTTATCATCAAAATTCTTTTTTGTGCCTTTGTCAAATATTTTTTTCGTGGATAGAACAAAATGTTGAATCTTCGTAAGTAGGGTTAAAGTCGCCAGCCCTGGGCTATGATCTAACAAGATGGGATATGAGGATGGTCGCACAGAAAAACACTGACGAGATTCTCAAGGAACCGGGAAACTTTCCGGAAGAGAAAGGAGGCGGAAAAGATGGGAGGGACGACGCGGCCGACGCGCGCCTAATTGCCCGCCACGACTGGCAACATCCCTGCTCTTTATTCGTCGTAGATTCTCTTTTGCGGGGGATTCGTTCCTCCAGCCGGGTGCGCGCCTACTCGTGCGTCGGTAATTAGATCTGCGTCTTAGCGACATTGGTCGACGCTCCCTTCAGCCGTCAACTTACCGCCCCTTTATCACCCCTTAGACTTTCCGCTAGGTAGTCCTGGAATTACCCCCCCCCCCTCCCATCGGGGCGACCTCTTCTCTTTCTTCCATAAATTACGCTTCTCGCTGTCTTTAGAGATTTTCAGGGCAGAGTTCAATTTTCTTATTTACGTTCCACGCATGAATTTTTTAACTTGACGATTTTATGCAATTTCTGTTGCAAAAATGTGAAACTATAAAACATCGAAAATATAAAAAACAGTAAATGTATTAATAGGATTGTCTGTATCCTTTATTTTTACTAATTTTTGCGTTCCCGGTATTCAGACTGAGTTTTCAGACGCATCCTTAAAGCCATCATCTTCGCGGCGGGACGGGAATTTGGTGGCTAATCCGACAGAAAAAAAGTCGCAGGCATCCTCAGAGTTCGCAGAGTGTGCACGCGGTCACGAGAAAAATGATTGCGCGAAAGGGAGGAGGGGAGGGTTGAAAATCAGGCATAAATGAGGAAGAAGGGGCAGGAGGGTGATGTGGCGCGAGGGTAAGGACCCACCTTCTCCCTCGTTCAATTCATTAACAAAAGACGGCTTGATAAATAAAAGCATTACTCACACTCGTGGCGCTGGCGGGATGAATGCATACCGAGTCGACAAGGACCGAGGAGAAGACGTAGATAAGATCGGCGGGTGTCCCCGCGTTTTAGTGGTCGAGCAGCGGGAGGCCCGACACGGTATTAATGTTTGGCCTCCGAGGCAAAACATTCACGCCAGGTTCCCTGCCCCCGCGATCCCCTTACCACTAATCCCCAGTCCGGGCCCATCTCTCCCTCTCGCCTCTGTCGGCCTTCTTTCTTCGCTTATTCTCTTCTTGCCCCTTCGATGATCGTGAACGGGTCAACCCTAAAATTATCGCGAAATCATTCTGGATCATTGATTGATAAAGCGCGACACTTTTCTTTTATCAAAAATATCTAAAAAGATTTCTAGTTCCGTCACTAGCAGAAGACGAAGAATTAATTAATCATTCTTAGTTAATTTTTACCTAACAGTCATAAAAGTTAGTCTAGGAATTGCAGTTTTATAACGGAATTGTCAGAAGACAGTTTATGGATTCTGTATCGAGTCGGGAATTAATTATTAACAATTTAAAGATTTGTGCACAATTGGAAAATTTGTGTTAAGTTTAACACATTTTTTTGTGTCCCAAATGGTCTATCTAAATTTTTATGTTAATTTAATAAGACGAATATGTTAGGAAGTAATACAAATATTATGTAAAAAATTTAATATAAACAATATAACGTTGACAATTTCTATGCAAATTGCGGAAGTATATTTCTTCAGTAAAATTAACATTTATAATATATCAAATATTATATCAAATATTTGTAATATTTTCAAGTTATAACATTTATAATATATTAAAAATTAACATATTTTATTTATATGTCTTAAATTTTACGTTTGAAAATATATTATTTTTATGTTATTTGTTTAATTATGTATAAATAGTGTTTTAACATTAAAAGTTGAATATCAACTTAACACAAAATATTCAAATAATCACCATCACATTATGTTAAATTAACAAATAAAAATTTAAACAAGGATCGATTTTTTTAACACAAATACAAAATGTGTTTTTTACTGTGCAGCTTCGAGTTTTATAACTGCGGAAATCAAATTGCTAATTCAAACGACAATTACTAGTAGTTGAAAATTGTTGAAAAATGGAATGTTTTAAATTTAATTCGAATTCTACAGACCTCTTTTTTAACCGAGGATATACATTTGTGTTTCTGTAGGCGGATGTTTCCGACGTGTCGTGTCTCATTCAACGGGTTGAAGGCGGACAGTCGATACGCGGTCCTGATGGATATTGTACCGGTCGACAATAAAAGGTATCGGTACGCATATCACAGGAGCTGCTGGTTGGTGGCCGGAAAGGCGGATCCGCCGGCGCCAGCCCGACTCTACGTCCATCCGGATTCACCTTTTACGGGCGAGCAGCTCCGAAAGCAGGTCGTCTCCTTCGAGAAAGTCAAGCTCACTAACAACGACATGGACAGGCATGGACACGTGAGTATCTTTAGAAAAATTTTATCATCCCCCATCCTGTCTCATTAAGCTCAATCGCTGAACTGCGAGTTTGCGCAGATTGGCACAATAATTGAATTGCTATGATAATTTCTGTCAATTTTCGAAAGATGTTGAATAAGTAAAGACCAGAGGAAGAACGACTATAAGTAAAGACGAGAGGAAAACGTATTAGTTTCGTGTCGCTAATTGAATTAGATTTTCAAACTCAATGAAGCTGTGAATAAAAACTTAGTAGTTCAGCGCTGATCATTTCGTATGAATTATCTTTGTACTTCCGTTTCTATATCAGCTCGCTATAAAAAGCAAGACGAGGTGCAGATTCCAATTCGCGTTGCGACGGATGTGTTAAGTTTCTTATTGGATTAATTAATTAATAAGTCTTGTTCAACCATCTATTTCTCGCACAGAGATTCCGGTTAATTCCTCGTGACACTTGTCAGACCATCACGAAAATCGACCTTTATTATTAAGTTCTCACAACTGCAGGATGAATAACTCGATTGTGCGTTTACGTAGTAACGTGCATTGATCTCTCTCGAATGTAAAGTGCCATGCTACCATTCTGAATGATCTGCGAATCGGTGACAAAATGAAATAAAATGAAATAAAACCTCTCTTGCTCCTTTCTTACCTCCAAATTTAAAAAGTATTTATTATTGAAATTATAGAAACAGATTGATTATATTTTTATATGAAAAAGAAAGGCAATTATAATTATTTTATAATATTTTATTTATTAGTAATTTTTATAATCTTCCTAATATTTTTTCTAAATTTAAAATAGTATCGATTTAAATACCTATCTATATTCAATTTGTGAGAAAGGATATATTAATATTTGTGTTATGAAAGTGTTGTGGTAAATTATTATGATCATAACTGTATAATGATATAATTAAAACTTATAATTATTGTGAAAAAAAATTTTCTTTTAAGATCAACTTCTATGTGTAATTAAAAAATTCTCTAAATTTCTATAGCTCAAGGAGCAAGATTCTACAAAAAAGAACTTAATTTAAAAAAATAATATCCTTTTGCATATCTCAGTTAACTTTAATTATCGGTTAATTTTAATTGTCGTATAATGTGAGAACTCCATTGAACTGTCGACGTTTTCTGACGGACAAGGAATTTTCCACGTTTTTTCTCGCGACGGGCAGACATAGCTGTCTCGAGACAACTCGCGCATTAAACTTTTACACGTTACTCGGCGCAGCTGCGACTAAAAGTACGACATTGTCGGTGTCGAAGACAGCGAGTGCACGCCTACCGCGTCCTCCGGTTGTTGCATTAATAAGTCGACCGGCATCGATTGTTAGGTTCAACAAAGTTCAGCAAAGTGGAACGCAACACGGCAGCATTTCGCCTCGTCGCTTAAAGCTTTTACACCACGTTTATCTTACCTTTCACGTTTTACACCGTTTCGAAATACATTTTTTTCCTTGGACAATTTTCTTTTTCTATAACTACATACATAGTGTGACACGACTAGTTTTACATAAAGGCGTTTGCAGCTAATAAAGTTCAATAGTGATGACATTGCCAAGCGTTTATGAGAATTTTGAAAGGCGTGAAGTTATACGAAAATGAAGTGATGACATACGGGTGATTTTTCAACGTTATATATAAAGATTACATTCGCATTTAGAAGGAATATTATTGTGTCTAAAGAGAGAAAGAGAGAAAGAGAGAGTGAAAGAAAATTAATTGAGTCAATTCCTCACGTTGCTTTAAAATCAAAAAGTCATCAAGGATGTCATCACCGCAAATTCAAGCAACCTCGCGTCCCATCTCGTCTCGTTTACAAAAAAGAACAAAAATGACGTCGATAAAACGAATTTCATCGTAGCGCGATTTAGTCGCTCCACGGGATAATTTGACAGTCCGTTGTCTCGTTTGTCATAAGACACGAGAATCTCAGCCGCGTCTTCGCCCACCTCGCTCTTCTTTCAGTTCCCCCCCCCCCCCCCCCCCCATCCTTTTCCTCCGTTTCATTGTCAGCCCGAGCTCCTCTTTCTTGCCGGCGCATCGGGGCCCTTAATTCATCGGATGACTGACGTAAATAGGAACTCCGATCGGGGCAGCGCTTCTTCACGGTACTCATTTTGTATTCAGGGTATTACACGCTGCCAGACGCGAGCAAAGTGATTCTTTTGAACGGTAACGGGGGAGCGCGCCCGGCCCGAGATGCTCCTAATTCATACGCTTTTTCTTCCCGTACGGCCGATCCTCGCTGTTGTTGTTAATGCTATCGCATACCCTCGGCTTCGTCACCGATTCAAATCCCGGAACGACTAAAGTCAACGCAACGTGAAACTCGATGTAATCTCGCCGTCTTCGTCACCGGGAAAAGATGAGCCGTCAGCGATTTGAGAATATCTAATGGATATCCTTTGAAATAAGGGCTGGAAGAAAATGCGAAGCATAAAGAAACGCGTGAAACTGTTCGACGATATTCACATCGTCCGAATCGAATCGGTCGGTTAATTCGTTGCGGTTTTAATTGGACGAAATCGGACACCTGCGATTTTTGTGTGGAGAGATCTTTCGATCATGCAATGTTATTTTCATTTGTCTCTTTGAATTATAACACGACTTGAGAAGGAATAGTCGTCTAAATTTTGCGTCACGAAAACGATGATTTATACAAGTAATAGTAAAAACGTAGCGTGTCGAAAATTGAAGAACATCATAAATAGCTGATATATTTATGGCATTATGAACTTAACATACGAGATATACAATGTTAAATTTATAATAGATTTTATATCCAATTTAATTATTTTTAATCATTTCTGTAGGCGCCACTACTTCTATTGAATGTTGTTAATTTAATTAAAATATGTAGTTCAATTAAAATAAATTAAAATAAACAATCACAGAAATGAGTTGATTAGTTGTTTTTTAAAATAATGCACTTTGATGTACTTGGAAGTTAAATAACAAAACTTTTATCATTTAACTTAATATTATTTAACTTATAGAATTTTGATTTTTTTAATATTTAACAATGCAAGAGCATTTTAAATTATACAAGTAACTATTATTAAAGTTCTATCCAAGAAAATTTATTTGGAAAATCAAGCATTTATTTACAAAATTTCTACATCGTTAGGTATCAAGAAGAGCAATATGGTAATCCAATTACTTTATTTAAATAATATTTTGTTATTAATTTCCATATGTGTCAAAATGTAAATTAATTCATTTCTGGTAAAATTGCTTCAAAGTAAATTTCAAAGTAAATATTATCATATTAACATATGCATATAGTAAATAATAAATTTGAGTTAAATTTAATATCTTTTTTTAAGTTAAATTATTTAACTCCTTTGTTTTAATTAAATTAACAATATATTGAACAATATATTGCAACCTATACTGAGAGAAAAGATTGGTTGCTGCAACAATTTAGATAGCAAATATGGCATAGCATTTTTATATGCCTCGTATGATCGAAATCATACTGACATTGCGGATAGACTAACACAATTAAAAATTTGCTGCTACAACCAAAATCTGATTGCTGCAGCCATATAAAAATGCTATATTTTATTATCTAAATTGTTGCAGCGATCAATTTTTTTTCAGTGTAGAAATGATTAAAAATAACTTAAATTGGATATAATTTGACATTGTGACTTTAACAGTATATCTCTCTATAGACATAATGATATTCTTTTTAAAGGCAAATGTAATCTCCATTGTAAAATCACTCATACATCAACATTTCATTTTCTTGTGTGACTTTACACTATTTGTTGTACGTCGAATCTACAGTCAGTTTGGATTAATTTGCAGCTGGTGCTGAACTCCATGCACAAGTATCAACCGAGGATCCACCTGGTGAAGCGACCAGACTCGGGCACAACGAAGCCGATCGTGGACCTCGAGAAGGAGCCGCATAAGACCTTCATATTCCCGGAGGCCATATTCACCGCTGTCACCGCCTATCAGAATCAGCTCGTAAGTTTCACTTTGTTTCTCGCTACCGTTGTGCTTTCCTGCCTTTCTTTTTGCCCATTCGCTCTCTTTCTCGAGCCTCGCACACTTCGTCTTTCCTTAGCACGGCCCGTAATGTCTGTCCGATCGTCCGGTCGCCTCCGGTCCTCCACGTCTCACCACGTCTCGGCCGCACGGGACTGGTTCCTCCATTTCGCCTGCTGCGGCTCTCTTTCATCCTCGATAATCGTTTCTGTCGAGAACGAGCGACCGTGTGAAGACACTGGCGTAACACCTCGCGGATACGTCAACGTTAACGAGTGCCGTAGATACGCTACTCTAGCGTATCGAGAGTGTCGTAGATACGCTACTTACTTATTGAGAGAATCATTCATCGTTTCTTTTTTATTTTGTATATTGAAAATATTACACGGAATATTTTGTAGTTTTATATTATCTTTTTTTTATAATCTGCGCTGAACAAAAAATAATATTGTGTCAATAGCATTATATATATTTTAATTGAAAATTTTATTAATTCAATAACATTATTAATGATACAAATACATCATGCTCTTGTTTTAATAAAATTTTATTTGTTTATTAATACTGTTGTTAATAAGATTATTTTCAATTAAAATAATATTGTTGATATAACATCATTTTTTTGCATGTATTACTTAATGTTTTTCCATTGTGATTTAATTCTTTGATAATAATTTTCTTTATTTTAAAACTTATATGAAAATGTATTTTCCATTAAAATATATTTTCCAACTCAAAAAGAGTGATTTTTCAAAAGTTATGAATCGAAAAAGTAACAAAAATAATATTCAATCATGTAAGAATATATTCTTTTTGCTGATAATATTTTTTAATTAATTAATAACTTTTTATCAAATTGAAAAACAGTTTTTCTAATTTTATAAGAATCTTACAATTTTTTTAGTTTTCATCAGTTTTAAAATAAGAGAGTGATATTCTTTGAGATTTATTAAGTAGTAGGTGACATAGAACAAGTTAGCAGATGTATACTAGGAACGCGATACTCCTCAAATAGTCTCGTCATTGTTAGAGCGCATATAACTACCAAAAAGCACACTTGCAACAGTCGAAACGATCGTAAGGAAATGCCGCGTGTGCCAGTAGTAGTCTCGACCTCTTGGCGAGCCGTCTTCCGTGTCCAAGTTCAGATTCCGTGTTCAGCGCACGAGAACGACGGGGCATTATCGTATTTCACGATAGTCGTTTAAAGCCGACCGCGGCGTCATGTGTGGTCCAGGTCAGCGTCGTTCGCATTCCATGAGCGTCGCGGCGCGTCTCGTTCCACCGCCGCCGCCGCCGTCGCACCGTCGAGCTCAGTTTCGTCGTTCCCTCCGTACCGCAACGGCGGCTGGAATTTTGGATCTCGACATAGGTAAGATCTATGATCTTCAGAGGCGACAACGGACAACTATCTGGCATCGTTTCCGATGCTTATCCCAGTCCCGTTTAATCGATCTCTTTTCTTCTTGCCGCGAGAAGCAACACGGCGGTCGTGGATCCTCTTGAGGGATGACATGCTTTTTTTTTTCAAAGGGAGAATGCACAGCTTGAGTTCGATTCGGGCGAAATTCTTCGCTTTAATTCTTGAAGAGCAATTTGTGACAAATAATTATGAAGAATAATCTTATGGTGCGATCTAATACTTGTTTCTGTTTCAAGAACAAAAATGTTTAAAAAATGCTGTAAAAAGATTGCCTTTCTGTTTTATTTAAATTAATTATTTCATGCGTGTAACATTTATTTGGAATTTCAAATATTATATATTTTTTATTATATTTTTCTATTAAGGAAATATTACGAAGAATACCTTGAATGCTTTTCGGATAGATAATTTTAACATACACAAAATGCATGTGACAGCAATCTTTAAAATTAGAATTATAATTAAAATTATAGGAAACAGCGCAACGATCCGTCAAATCTAGCGCGACTTGATATAATTAAGTGTTTCGTGCAAGTATCGGGTATCCTTCGATCCGTGTTATCCGACTATTGCAAAACGCTTCGCCTAGACTGTCGTTTTTGACGAAGACAGCACGAAAACCGACAACGTCGGTGACTCTAACGGGTGGTCCCAGGAACCCACGACGACGACGACGACGACGACGACGACGACGACGACGACGACGACGACGACGACGACGACGACGACGACGACGACGACGACGACGACGACGACGACGACGACGACGACGACGACGACGACGACGACGACGACGACGACGACGACGACGACGACGACGACGACGACGACGACGACGACGACGACGACGACGACGACGACGACGACGACGACGACGACGACGACGACGACGACGACGACGACGACGACGACGAAGGCAACGCGGCTGTTGATGATGATGATGAGGTGCGAAGAGACGCCCCGGCAATTACCTCGAGCCAGTTTCTCTTCCACGACGTCCTCTCTTTTGTGCCTCTCGCTTTCTGTGTCTTCTCGTCTCGTCATTATCGTTCTTTGCGGTTTCCTCGTCGTCTCCGAATTTTTTCCATCTGTCCGTGTGTTGCTGTTTCTTTTTTTTCTTTACTTCGCATCTTCCTGAAGAGTCGAATATCGTCGACCGATTGTCATCTCGATCGTCGAGGTTTCTTCAAGATGATAGTCAGCACGTTCTTTTATGCCAATTCGTGCTGAGCGGAAGTCACGGCCTGCAGAGAGAAGTTTCATGCAACTTGTTATAACTGTTGGCAGATTTGTCGGAGGATTTCACATTTATATAAAGTTTTTCTTTCATGTTAGCTTTCTCTAATTCCTTGTACTTCAATCGGCGTTCTCTTCAATTTTTCACTGATTACTACTTAGCACTAATCGGTATTTGCTCCGAAATTTCTTTAACTAATCATATTTGCAGTCCATTTTAATGTGGACTTTACTTTAAATTAAAATATCTTTACTTAAAATATTAATATAATTGAGTAAATATTAATATAATTAAGTAAACTTATGAAAATTTGTCATAAACAATATTTTTCAATATATAGTAGAAGAAGATTTCTGGATCTACTGGGCCTACAAATACCAATTAGAGTTAGTAATCTGTATTAGAAAAAAAATTGTAGAGAAAAGATAGGAGAATACGACAAATTAGCGAGAAGTCCTTGAATTTTCCTGACACATCAGGATGAGCGTTCGCGAACATGGCGACGCGTGCGAAAGTGCTGTCGCCATGGCTTTTCAACGAGTTCGAAAATAGACGGGGTAGAATGTAAAAGTGGGGTACAGGGAGAGCAAAGGAAGCAGCGGATGATCATCGCGAACGTCGACGGTGGGCGCCGCGGTCAAACAAGAGCAAGGAGATGGAGAAGGACAGAGGTGCATGGAATGCGCGTTAGTGACGTAGAAATGCAGTCGAGCGCGCGACGGCGGATGTTGCATGGTAGATGGATAGGTAGATACGACTTGTTTAGAATGTGAGACAAGCCCCCCGAGATTCGGTGAAAAAGAAGGCTACAGTTGTTGACAAGATCGGAATCGGCGATATATTAAAAAGACCGCACCAGAGAGATAGTTGATGAGCTTGCAGGGATATACGAGCAGGGATATACTGAAATAGTTGCGGGCAATAAGATAAGACAAGAATATTAATAACATTAATGGAATGCAGGTGGAAAGAATGAATGGTGCCAGCAATTCCAACGCCAACAAAATGGCCAATTTTTTTTCCCCATTTCATTTACATTTGATTAACTCTCTGCGGTTGACGTTAAAATCTATAACACAGATTCTGACACTGCATCTGTAAAACCTATTTAATATATGTTGATTGAAAGGCACAATTAATTTTGGTTACCATAACCAGAAATTCTGTTTGGCCTCACAATACCATTCTGGTTGGGTCTTTTTGATTTAACCAGAATATTTTTCTCAGTCACCTACAAAAAGGTTGAGAGGTTCTCATGCAAAACTCAAGTTGCCATGCTCAACACCGACAAGTCGCGCTTGGTTGCCGATGGCAAACGATCTCAGCACTTTAATACGGGCTCTCCATCAGCGCTGATACACATCCATATATACAACTTACTGATTTTTGGATTTACTGAATTTCTCCCGTTCGATATATACCGGCTCGAAAGCCATTCGTTGCGGTTAGCACATTTCTCGTCACTCGTCGTCGTCGTCATCGTCACAGTCATCGTTGGGGGTGCGCTCGTTTAGCGGGGACTACCTTTTTTTCTCCCGGCAATACTGTGTATCGTTGCGGACGGCACTTTTTTTTGCCTTTTACTTCCCCGGCAGGCCTTCGCGCTTCCCTTCTCGAGTCTCGTAACGACCTACGCGACCGACTCGATTCGTCTTTCTCACTCGCACCACGTCATAATTCATATCCTAACTGCCACCTCTCTTCCTTCCCTCCGGCCGCCCGCTCGCCGGGGAGTTCCTCCATCCGTTCTGCCGGCTCCTTATCGTCCCATGATGTCGCCTCCTCTCTCATAGTAGTCGTGCTCTTCGTCGTTTGCTCTACCTCTCCTCTCTTCATTCTCCTTCCCGTCGTTGTGGACATCCATTATGCGAGCTAATGCTTCCATGGTCGACTCCGTCGAAGACTTTGTCACTCCTTCTTCGATTTTTCTAAGACACAAATGAATTATGAAATCTCGTTGATAATAATTTTTTAAAATAAATTTAATTTTAATATATCTTTAATTGCAAATGCTATACTATATATATAAGTTAATTAAAAATTGAAACTTGTAAAGAAGAATACTAGTTAAATTTTCCAATTTAGTTTGCTTACATTTAGAGAAAAAATGACTGCTATTATTATAATTTAACTATAATTTACAGACATTTTTGGTATCAATATTTTTTGATAGAATTATAAATATAATTATTATATAATTATTACATTATATAACAATATAGTAATAATAACTATAAAAATAGTTTCTACACTGTTGAATTTATAATGTCAAATTAAATCTGATTTAAGTTAAGTACTTTTAATCATTTCTGCAGGTCG